GACGACACTGTCAGTTTGGAGAGTTTCATTCAGAAAGCTGTGCGTATCTCTCAATGTCTTTCAGCCCACTCATTGGATCAACCCGCTTCGCATCCTCCGCTCATCTCTCCATTTGTCGCCCTTCCAGCACCAGAACCCATGCAGGTAGACACTTACCATCTGTCCAACACTGAGCTACAAAGAAAACTAACACCGCACTTGTGTCTGTATTGTGGGGGAGAAGGTTATATCATCACCAACAGCCCGATATGACCAGCATGCCCAGCTGTGAGTACAACACAGTCTCATCCCAAGACGTCATATAACTGACGTCTTGGGACGTCTTTTGACCATACGTCAATATCCGCCTTTTTAGGGTACCCTTAAACGTCGGTTAGATGACGTTATCGGATCCTAACTCTACCCCAGACCTAAACCTACCCCTAAACCTACCCCGTCACCTAACTGACGTTAAAGGTAAAGCGTCAGTTGTATGACGTCCCAGGATCGTCATAAACCAACGTTTAAGGGTACCCTAAAAAGGCGGATATTGACGTAGTCACTCGCATGCCTGTCCAAATTTGAACCCTTAAACTTCTTGTTTCAGCGCAAGCGCTCATCAACTCCGGGTCTGCAGGGAACTTCATTTCTCATCAACTTCCCCATAGACTCAACCTCCAGAGGAAAGGCTGCTGACAAGAATTAGCCATTCCTCGGCAAGCCGCTGGGCCGGGGTCGTGTCCGCCACTTCTCCCCCACAGTCACACTACGTGTTGGCTGCCTGCATGAGGAGAAGATCTCATTCTTGGTGCTGGAAGGATCCACTGTCGACATCATTCTGGGACGCCCCTGGATGACGCAGTACGAACCCACCATCAATTAGAACTATGGAGAGATTCTACAATGGAGTAATTCCTGCTTCAAAAACTGTCTGTCATCTGTGATCAAACCGCCTACACGTCGAACCTGTCGACATCTCTCAATCTTTATCCAGTCTCCAGTTGAACTCCACCTCTATCGAAAGCCCATGACTGAGAATAAAACTGAAATCCCTACAGAGTACCGGGCGTTCCAGGATGTATTAAGTAAACGGTTGGCAACCCCGTCTACCACCTCATCGGCCATGGGACTGCGTCACCTGCACTGAGAATCCACTTAGCCAGCTAAGTCACATCATCTTTCTACAAGTCATCATCCTCTGGTTCCTGTTCCACCACCACTCTGCTTTTAAAAAACCCTGTGTGCACTTAAACTTGTCTGTCTCTTCCTGTGTTTGTGACAATTGTTCCTCTGTGCCATTATTGTTATAATTGTGGTGTGGACTGCTATTCTTTTACATTTAGAACTATTTTTAAATCTTTCTTTCTCATTTTAGTTATCATCCCTGGTGTAAGCAGGCCTTTATAATGTGTATTAAAACTATATAGTAATGGTTAACTTTTTGGTTATCGTCCTTGGTGTGAATGGGCATTTACATTTTAGACTAGACCAGAGATTGGCAACTCGAGTCCTGGAGGGCCACTGACCGAGTTGAGTTCCATCCCTATAATACATCCAAGAAGTCAAACTTTTGGGCCTGGTTACTTCATGCATTTTTACCAAGGCGGTAATCCAAACGAAGCTTCCCTGGGGGCCGCCATTGATTAGCAAGCCATCCCCTGCTGTTAGCATTCCATTAGTCTCGCGTAGCCAGACCTTCAGACTGACAGCTGAAGGTCTGCAATTCATAGCAGCTTTCTTTGGCCAAGGCCCGCCCATAAGGCCGTTTGACCGACATGTAAAACAACCAATTACAGATCGTTTAGTTCAGCATCACGTTTCGGGGCGTGGAAATGTCCCCACAACAACAGACCGGCGTGCAACAAGTCAGTCAGCATAGAAAATCAAAGGAGGAGAAAACTTCAAGAGTCTATGCCGTGAACCTCGCATACTTTTGAGAATCCTACGTTTAGCTCAGGGGTCTCAAACTCAACTTAACTGGGGGCCGCTGGAGGTAGAGTCGGGGTCAGGCTGGGCCGCATCAAGTATTCCACAAAAAATAGTATTCAAGTATTCCAAAAAAGGAGCACAACTGATCCAATCTTCTCAATATTTATTATTAACGTTTCTTCTGAACTGTTCCTCTGAATTTGAACATTCCTTTCTGTACATTGGTTCTTCATGAGCTGTCCTTCTGACAGTTGAAGTTCATTTTACAAACTTTCTTTATCTTTTCCTTATAACACATATTTGTGATATTTATATTTGCTTATGTCCTTTTTATTTTCTTTATACAACACATTAATGATATTGAATGTTTTTTTTTTTGGAAGGCACATTTCCTTTTATTATACTTAGAAAAACAATTATTGCTTTTGAAATACAAATATTTGCAGTCATGTCTGCCCGTCTTATTGAATTCTTTCTACACATGTAGCTGCTATAGTGTCTCAGGCAAATACTGCACAAATCAAAGCAAACCTTCTTATCAACCTGTTGGACACATATTACAAGCTCAAAATGATTATTCTCACATTGTTTTAGAGCAGGGTCTCTCTCCAACACGTCGCTCCCGTTCACATATCGCGCTCACATATTTTGCGCGCTCAAGTTCGTTATTTCAAATGTAGGTGCGCGGCAAGCGCGCTCATAATTGAAGCGACGCGCTCATTTTTTCCAGGCGCAGTATGTTTGTACTTCGCGGTTGTCTATGACAACTATTGACAACAAACCCACCGTAAACTGTCACGAGACTATCTATGGTAGCCCATAAGGGATAAAAAAAAATATATTTTTTTAAAAAACGCGGCACACGCAACGACGGGCCGCACTAACATTAAACTTTAATGTCAAGTAGGGGGCCACAAAATATCACCCATGTCACTCATGTAAACACAACAGTTTTTCTTCCGCAATCACACGTCTGCGCTTTGTTTCCCGGCGGACCGAAAATAAACGCGACACTCGCGCCCCCTCGAAAATCCGATAAAATTCAACCAATCAGATGACGACTTCGACATTCCTGAAGTGTTTCCAGTTAAGTGTACCATATGCAGGCTGAGACTAGCATTCCATTGACTCCCATTCATTTTGGCGTCACTTTGACAGCGAATAACTTTACATCTGAGGCGTTTAAAGACTCCATTTGTCCATTGTTTATTTCTAAAGAAACACGACAATGTATAAAGCTCATGCTAGTCCTGTATCCAGTCTCCTGTCTTCCGTCCATCATCCTGATCCAGATCGTCTGTCTTTGTGTTCACTCGTCACCTGCACAGAGAATCCACTTCAGTCATCGCCAGCTAAGTCACCATTATCATTCTCCATCCTCTCACCATTATCTGGTTCCCGTTTGGAATGTGTCTCAAACCACCTCCTGAAGTGGTTTGAGTAAACAAATTTAAATCCATCTCGAAAGCATTTCAGATATCGGATAGTGTGGTATCCATCAGGAGTTAAGCAAAGAGACACATGAGACAGGAGCAGCGATCTTCATCCATCTTTTTTACTCTTTCACTTCTGTTCTCACATACTACGTCATTAATTACACAGCACTTCAAAATAGTTGTCACAATATAATTCAGGCATGAACACAACAGATAGCTATCCAATCAGAGGAAACACATGAACTGATCAAAAGTAAACAGGCCCCAAGGCTTCAGGATTGCTTGAAAAATGCAGGCAGGTGTGTTTGGAAAATTTTGATAAATGCATTTTTAAAATACTGCTGGACACACCTTAGCACATTTCAATTATGAAATAACAGGTTTGGCTTCATGGTCTCAAGTTCAGCACTTATCTCCACTTCACATCTGAACGTCTCCCCAACAGCCCAATTACTCACATCATGTCATGGTTGAATGTGCTTCTTTCTGCTGACAGACCAGTTTGACGCATGGAATGAAGTTCTCCATGCAGTGAGGAGAGATGCACCATTCATTTATTTAAAATCTATTTTATCAGTTAGTGCCCACCCCTTTTACTCTGAGTTTGAGATTTTACCCTCAGGCTTGCAGTTAAAATTTTCCTGTTAAGAGCAATGGATATATATACTCATTTATTCCCACAGCAATTTTCCTTCTAAATTTAGGAAAAGGCGGTAAGTAGGGTCAGCATTTTATTCAGGGTCAGGGGGAGTGGGGGCGGGGGGAGTTATAATTATATTTTTTCTTGTATTTTGTTATGGTTGTCTGTCTGTATGTCTTGCCGTAAAACTAAATGCCCCCCTAGGGGACATAAAAAATATTTTATTTATTGTTAAGTGTATTTAAAGCCTGATGTATACGTACACATCTTTTCCTTTTCAAGCTGGTCTTGCCTTAGGCAAACATAATGGAAAAAAAGTGGATTTAGTGAGAAAAGATTCCGATTTCTGTCAGTCTTGTGACTCTATATTAGACTTGCCAGAATATAAATTTGACAAGTTTACTTTCTGCTTTTTTTTTTTATCAAGAGCAAAAATTGTTTTCTCTGTTCACAGTGACTATGGTTCTCTGATGATTAAAATAGTTATTGGATTTGATTCTTAGATCAGAGTTTTGGTGTCTAAGCAGAAAAAGTAGTTTTAAAAAGTTAATTGTGTTCTTTTGGCATTACATTGTGAAACTCTTTCTGGTGTATTTTTAATAATGTAGTTTATTACTCTGTGTCTTTAAATAAACAGCACTACTTGATATCATATTGGTAAATATATATATATATATATATATTAATAGAAAAAAGAGGTATGACTATGATATTAATAAAATAACACAATTAATAAAATGTAACTCTCTTTATTTTATGTTAGCCACATACCTTATTGTAATCATAAATCTGAAAACATTGTTCTAAAACCCATAGGAAATTCCTGAGGGAACCCATGGCTCAAAAGAATTATAATTCTCTTCAGGTTTCAGCACTATAATCAGCTCTATTGTGGAAGGTAAATTGTCTTCGTAATTTATAAGCATGTGTATTTGTGTAAATACACGTGTATAAATATTTATATCACTCATTCTTAAAGTATATGTAAAAAGTAAATGCATGTGTTTGTACAGACAGATTTTCATAGCTTAAATTTATTTAAATGAAAATACACTCTTAGCTTGTTTTATTTGGAATATACACTGTTCAAAATTTCACCTTAATTACTTTATTCAAATTCAGGATTTTTTTAAACTTATTAACTAATGCAAAAACAAATAATCTATAAATGCCCCCATAATGTTAGTTAATTCAGTGATAAAAGTGACAGATGACAGCTTTAATAAATGGCCTGGAGGACTGCTGGGAAAGAGAGCAGCAGGATGCAGGTGAGAGAGAGGGGTGAGAATGACTCCACCCCATCCAGAATAGATGGGTATTCCCTGATAGTGTTAATCAAGAAGTCGGCGAAGGGAGAGGTCCTGATGAAGACTGTGCTGTTGGAGAATTGCGAGTTCATGCCACTCCCAGGGGTAATGGACAAAAGGCCAGCCTGGATCCACATGTCATTCATTCTACACAGCAGGGGGATGCCGTTATCATTCTGAATGAGAGTAAGAAAGATCGTTACTAACTTCATACTAAACACTCAGTGGAACATAGCCAGGAAACATTACAATTGGACAAGGTGGTATGTAGTATCTCAAATGTGTTTCAGTCTGGAAAATCAAAAGACAAGCCTGCAGATACCTGCTGAAAGCTCAAAGGCAGTTGCTCTGTGCAGATGTTGATCAGTGAGGTGCTTGAAGGATCGCAGTTTACAATGGTGGTCTGGAGTTCCTGAAAAGATGGTTCCCCTTAGGAGGAAAGAAAAACGAATGGGAAATAAATATAATTCTAAACAAAACTTTGAATTTACTGAGATAAAAATCTGCATAAGTGGTTATATAAACTCACATCCTGAATTCAAACCAACTACTGAACATTGAGTACCAGGGCCAAAGCTTGAATGATACATGTCAATCGGAAGATTGGCAGTGTAATAAAACGGATTAGACAGTTCCACAAGTGCTACACCATTGCCGTAAATATCTTCGAATAAGACGTTTGCCACGCGAGCCGACATGACGTTGCTGGAACAGTCCCACTGGACAACATTGAAGCTCACTGTCCATCCATCCGTACCCATGAATCTGAAGAATGAGATATTGAGGTCAGGGCGCAAATCTATGTCAACCTATGTTTAGGTCACTGGTTTCATATGAAATTAAGTTTTCCTGTTTTGATTACCTGGAAAAGCAGCTAGCAGAGGTCATGACGAATCGGTCATGAACCAAAGTTCCTACACACATAGGATAACCGTTAAAAGCTAGAGTAGCCATCCATGGCCATGCACCTGCAGAACCTCCGCACAATGTCGCTGGAGAGAAAAGAGAGAGAGAAAGGGTAAATAGAGCTTACTTGCACTTTCCCATTAGCTCCCAATTTCAATAATATAATTTTGCTTTATCATGGTGATGTTAACAAACTTACGTGTAGTAGGGCAGTTCACAATCTCGTCTGGAAGAGGAGCGGTGGAGGTAAAAGTGACGAAACCAGCTCCGTCCTGTCCGATTTGTCCACTGATCCACTGCTGGTACTGAGAAACTCTGGCATACACACCAGGAATTTGAGGCAGAGCACAACCTTCGCCAAAACTCACAACGCCAGCCTGGATCCATGTAGAGCCCTGTTTGATGACCATTGGACCTCCAGAGTCACCCTGTACAATGACAAAGAATTAATATCTATCTCTCAGATATTTACTATTTCTAATAAATGTAGACAAATCATTCCATGTTGATCTTGTTGATACAAATATATATATATATGTGTGTGTGTGTGTGTGTGTGTGTGTGTGTGGTCCTGGTAAACCCTACGTTATGAGGCAAAAATGTCATGTGAGGGCCTTTTTTGGTCCCCGTGAGGAAAATTATTAATCAGCTTATAAATCAAATTATGTTTTTTTGGAAAATGTAGAAATGCTGAACATTTTCTGTGATGGGTAGGTTTAGGGGTAGGGGTTGGGGTTGGGTTAGGGGATAGAATATACATATATTATTATGATTAAATATTATTAAATTAAGGCAAGGCAAGTTTATTTCTATAGCACATTTCATACACAATGGTAATTCAAAGTGCTTTACATAGAAGAAATTTAAATAATCAAAACAAATAAGAATAATTAAAACAGTTTAGAATAAAAAATAAAATAAAGTAATACTGGTCCACGTCAATTTGGGTCACAACTTCTTTTATTTTTTTCTCGGAATCGTTCCTGATGCATCCCTGGCAAACAACCCTATGTTTTGTTAGTATCCCTAACTGCCTGATTCACTAAATTCGGGGATCCCCTATCTGAGAGGGAAGAGATTGAGCCGGTTTACGGTGCCACTGGACCTCTAGCCCAGGGACGTACTCTGCTGGGGTGGTGCTACACCAGTAATGCCCAGCGGGGCCCCCACAGAGCACGCTTCGTGTGCGCTGTCTGCTGCCGTTACCCTTAACGACGCTCTCAGCGACTTCTTATACTCTCAGCAGTATAATCAACTTACTCATTCACTCGCCTCATCGGAGTGAAGACTCTCACGCTCTCCTTCAAAATCTCTTCCAGAGATTATAAAAAAAAAAAAAAAAATTAAAGCAGTACAGTAAAAACAGTCAGACGAACAGTGGCACAGTGCTCATTCAGCAAATGCACAGCTAAACAGATGTGTTTTGAGTCTGGATTTGAAAGTGACTACTGTAGGAGCACATCTGATCTCTTCTGGAAGCTGGTTCCAGCTGCGGCTGGCATAATAGCTAAAAGCAGACTCTCCGTGCTTAGAGTGAACCCTTGGTATTTCCAGCTGATGTGATCCTAATGATCTGAGTGATCTGTTAGGTTTATATTCAGTGAGCATATCTGCAATATATTGAGGTCCTATTGAATGATTTATATACCAGTAATAATACTTTAAAATTAAATGAACTTAACAAGTACAAGCCATGTACAATTGATACCTGGCAGGAATCTTTTCCACCTTCCGGCAGTCCAGCACACATCATGTTGTCTGTTATTGTTCCACTATAAAGACAGTTACATTTACTATTTCCAACCAGGGGCACATCCACCTCCTGTAGGATTTGAGGTGAAGGAAGGGATACTGGGAAACAGAAAAACTCATCAGTAACACTTAAATAACAAGCTGAGATGATTGATTGATTCTGTTTCTAAAGATCAGTATATTACTCAATCACATTGACCCTATTTACACCTAACATTAAAGGAATAGTTCACTCAAAAATAGGAATTCTGCCATTAATTACTCACCCTCATGTCGTTCCAAACCCGTAAGACGTTCATTCACATATGATGAACAGATTGAATTTACATTAAATTTACATGAAACGTTCATGAACTCACACATCAGTTGTGGTAAACAGAAGCTCAAGCGGTAACACTTTATAATAATGGTCCGTTATTAATAACTAACTATGCAGGAAGTAATGCAGGACTAAGGAGTAGTTCTACATTAACACTTCAGCTACTACTATTAACTAATATACAAGCTTAACTAATCAGTAAGTAATATCAAATTTAGGAGATTATTCCTTATTAGGTAATCAATAATTACTTAATGAGATTAGCCTCATTAATAACTATTAACTAACTGACAAATTATCAAGAACATTATCGTGTGTCTGAGACGTAATCATCATTTTTACTATGAATATAGTCATAAAATACATCACTATTTACTCAAGTGTTACCCTAGTCGGTAACACTTTATAATAACTACACGCTAATAATCATTAGTTAAGCATGAGTAAACAGTTAATTCATCATTCATAAAGCATTAATAGACATTAATAAGCAGTTTATAAATACAGCTATAAATGCTTTCTTCTTGATTTACAAGCATATAACTATAATTTATTTAATAATTGTATTTTCATCCTTTATTAATGATCAATGTATTATTTCTAAATGAATAATTGCATTTTTTATAAACCAGTTGTTTAAGAGTTTTCAGTGGTTCATTACATTACTTAGAACGTGTAAGTAAATGATTAATAAACTATTTAAATGTACATTCATACATCTTATTATTCAGGTGATGGTTACTTAGTGTGTTAATAAATGCTTTATTAACATGTATTTATGCTGTAATTCAGGGTTAATTCGGGTAGTTATAAAGCATTTAGTAGTGGTCAGTTAACTATGTTTGTGAGCTCATCTAAAGTGAGGACTATTCATGCCTTGTAAAGCATTTATAAAGGAGATTTAAAGGCTGTTAAATATTTCTATGTTCTGTATCACTGTGTTGTGTTTGTTTCATTTTACTGTTTAGAAGATTGATGCGCCTTCAAATCTCCTTTATAAATGTTTTACAAGGCATGAATAGTCCTCACTTTAGATTAGCTCACAAAATAGTTAACTGACCAATACTAAATGCTTTATAACTACCTGTATTTACTACATTTACTTACACTTTCTAAGTGATCTTATGAATGACTGACAACTCTTAAATAACTGGTTTGTAAATAATGCTATACTTCATTTAGAAATTATTAATTGATCATTAACAAAGTATGAAAATACAATTATTAAACGCATTATAGACATGCTTATAAATCAAGAAAAAAAGTGTTTATAGCTGTATTTATAAACTGCTTATTAAAGTCTATTAATGCTTTATAAATGATGAATTAACTTTTTACTCATGCTTAACAAATGATTATTAGCATGCAGTTATTATAAAGTGTTACCCATTATTCTAAAGTGTTACCGCTCAAGCATGTTTGGTTGATGTGAGAGAACAAATGAGGTTCATTCCCATGTGTTACGCAACAAAAACAATGAGGTTAGTTCTGGCGCATCAAGCAGGTTCAGTTGAACTTCAGTTTATGTTCGCTCATGTTTATATGTGAATAAAAGTCTAAGTTCAATCTGTTTATATAATGCGATCGAAACGCTTAAGGAAATTTGGACTAAACCGCTCGATTCATATGTATTAGTTTTACGACCTCTTCATGAACTTTTTGAAGCGTCAAAGTGGTAGTTGTGTAGCTGTCAATGGAAGGACAGAAATGCCTCAGATTTCATTCAAATATCTTCATTTGTGTTTTGAAGATGAACAAAAGTCTTACAAGTTTGAAACAACACGAGGGAGTGATTATATAATTGAAATTTTTGGGTGAATCCTTTAACATGCCTTTTGGTGATTGGATTGCTATTGTCATCATTAAAAGCCAGGTTTAAATGCATCCAAGGTGCATTTTTGAATGCAAATGCGAAATTTAAAGGGGCCGTAGACCAGTTATTTATCCTTATTATGTATCATTGATTATAGTTTTTTCGTTGTAATTAGTTTTTAAATTTCCGATTTTAATTTTAGTTACAGTTGTAGTCGTTTTGATAGTGTTAGGCCTATAATAACTCTGCCATAGACTCTGTAAGAGTGTCAAAAGATCACATGCTTTATGTTACGACTTTAACATAACCCATCTCTTTTATATTAATTTTTTTAAAATCTTTTTGTCTTGATCTTAGGAATATTTAAAAAAAAATTAAATTCAACAATAACAGGCTTGGCAATCTCCTGCATTTTAATCGCTGTCACCATGTGTCCACTGGTTCGGCGCTGAGTGGGCATTGCCAATACATGCTTGTGCGGTATCCCATAGTGGTATCCTATAGTGTAAAAGTAGTAAGAGTAGTATGCTAGTATTCTTAATTCAACCATTGCTCAACTTTATGCATATGTGGCATAATGAGCTAGAAGCCCATTTGTCCGCATTATAGTAAGTGACGTCATTAATCTCTGCACTTGTATTTAGGCTTGAGCGCGTCTTTAGCATAGACAGTATAAGAAGTGGACAGAGCCATCTCATTGGAACTCAGTTCAATATTAAAGGTTCTCTAAGCGATCCTGGGTGACGTCACTTCTTGTTGACGTTCGAACTATTGTCAAACAAAACGGAGGCTAGCTAGACCCTCCCTCCTCCTCATCCGCACACTAACCCCCCAAACCCCGCCCCCAAACCCTTCTTGTCGGTCATTGGCTGGAACAGTTTGTTATGTTTCGTGGTGCGGGTAAGCCCAGTTTGTTTTTGTTGCTGTTTGTGGAGCCTGGGGTGTCTGCAGAGACCGCGTTTTTTTACGGTGTGTTCAGGGGACAGGCAGCTAGCGGTAAGTGAGGAGATGTTTACTGTATGTGACAAAAAAAGGTTTGGCTTAAAAAACGCGTGACATCGCTTAGAGCACCTTTAAGGCCTGTTGGTGGATTAACTCTTTTTTTTCTTTTTCTTTTTTTTTTTCTTAATCCACCTGCTAGCTTGTGTAACCCTCTCTCTTTTCTTTTCTTTGTGGTATGTGTGTGGTGTGGAGAGTGTGTGTCTTTTAGGAACTGCGGCCCTTTTTGCTTGGGGAATTGACCGTTCCTCTCCCTGTTTTGGTGGTGGTGTTTACACCGTGTGCCGTGACTGATGACTTCACTGGGGCTCTTGTGCTGTGAGTGTGTAGTGCGTTTGAGGGGAACGTAATATCTTTTGCGAGGGCACCTCTAAATAGAGGCCGCAGTTTTCTTTCTGTGAACATTGTGTTTGTATTTGATTGTCTGAGGCTTGTCGCCTTTCTGTGTCTGGGTTTTTATTATAAATTATAATAATATATATATATATATATATTTTTTTTTTTTAAACAAGGACGCTAAAGACTCCAGTCTCTAGCTTCAGTCACTATAGTGCGCCTCTTGAGATCAAGTGAGTGAGGTCTGCAGTGCACAGCTCTTACTAGCTGGCCTCCGTAATATACACATGGTATATATATGCATGGCCCCTAAAGTGTCAGACATCGAGCACCAAGTGGTAAGCATAAAACATTTTTCTTGATTCTTACCTCCTGAATAAATGGTTCCCCAACCTGTGACCCACATCGTGTCATTGTTGAAAGTGCTTCCCTCTGCAGCCAGACAGACTGGTCCGATGTAATTAGTGAAGTTCACAGGTGAGGAGAGTTGCAACAGAGCCATGTCATTGTTATGAGTTTGTCCATTGCCATAGCTTGGATGAACTATGAGTTGAGAGACGTTTCTGGACACCTCGTTTGGATTGGGTTGTTCTTGAGACTGTCGCCCCAGGTACACAGTAATGCTTGAAGCATCAGTCCTGCAAGGAGGACATGACCAAGTGATTACAATCATGATATTCATCAAGAAGAAGCAAACATGTTATTGAAGATCTTTGTGTTGGTTACCCTGGAAAGCAGTGAGCTGCTGACAGAACCCATTGATCGTTGATTAGTGATCCACCACAGAAATGACTTCCATCCGCGTGAAGGCTGACCTGCCATGGCCAAGCGCCAGCGGACGCATTAATTCCCCCCACGATCTTTGTGTTGAGAGGGGCTCTGCCACATGCTTCAAACAAGAGAGATAAAGGAACTTCATTCTGACGCTCTCAGGAAAAAAGTGAATATGTTACTCAATACATTTTATTATTATGTGATGATAAATTATTTACCCGGCTGGCAGTCGCACCCTAGAGAAATTGAAACAAGACCAGTTATTAAAAAAGACAAACCGATGTTCAACAAAAGTATCATGGGTTGCTTTAGTAAAATCCAAGGAAGATATGCATGATGCACAATGAACAAATAAATGATATTTAATATAGACAGAGAGCAAGATTACACAGCCCATTCTCATCCCTAGGCGTCATGAAACTGACGCCTTGGGAATCATTTTGACCATGCTTCAATATTCGACGCTTTAGGCACCCTTTAGCGTCAGTTACATGACGCGATCCTAGGGCGTCATCTTACTGACGCTTTACCTTTAACGTCAGTTAGATGACGCTATCTAATCGTAACCCTACCCCAGACCTAAACCTACCCGCGTCATCTAACTGACGCTTAGGTAAAGCGTCAGTAAGATGACGCCCTAGGATCGCGTCATGTAACTGACGCTAAAGGGTGCCATATTGAAGCATGGTCAAAATTGTCATTTTAGTGACGCCTTGGGGTGAGAATGCGTTGGATTACACCACACATTCCAAATAATGTTAACACATGACAATGAACTGAGCAAGAGGCTTAAATACACAGGATGATAATAAATGGAATGAGGAACAGGTGTGTCACTAGTCAGAAACCATAGGCGTTTCTCAATATCAAGTACGCAAAGTTCGGACTTGCCAAGATCAAACTCCTGAGAACGGGAGGACGCAAGTGCAAATATATATAACAAAACAAACTATAAAACACAACCCTGCCTCCTTTCGTTAACATAAAAAAACATATTAATATGTGGTTCAGGCAATATGTGCATATCTGATAATCTTCACTGTAATAAAATAAAATATGACATAAAACACAACCCTGTCTCTTTTTTGTTAAATGTCAGTTTTAATGATCAATAATAGCCATTTTAAAAGTAAAAGTAAAGGTATAAGAAGCTATAAAATAAAGTGAAACAATTCGGTCAAACGTACAATGTCAGCGGTCTAGTAGGCTACAATGGTAACGTTGAATAGCCTAAATATATAAAGTTACGAAACTTTCCAAAACGATGTGACGGAACAAATGATAGATTCATGAGACCAAAGATCGCCAGTTAGATATACACAAGACAAATTATATCTCAAGTTTAACCACTACAGAGCCATTAGAGTCAGCGGCAAACATCAGAAGGACTAGCCGAGGTAAGGATGTTCTCGGCGGGGTTAATGAGCACGGAGCGCCCGGTGATCGCCTGAATCTTACAACTCCGAAAACGTCAGATCAAATTTTCAAATAGGAGCTCTCTTTATAAATAAACCACAGACTTAAGCTTTAAACAACTACATTCTTGCCTGAAAAACTCTTAAAATTACATTTCGTGACACAATGACAGTAGTATTTTTAAATTACGCGGGTGGTACGTGCAAGATGCATTCTGGGATACCTGGATGACTTAAGTCCGCACAAGTCACCTCTCGATGCATCCTTGATAAAAGGGGCGGATCAAGAACACATCCGGGGATTTGAACTTTACTTGGGTGAACTTTGAATAGGCTTTATGCACAGCTTCACTACTTCCTGAACTTCAGCCAGCCCTTTATTTCCTGTCTGTCATTATTGGACAAACTGATTAATCCAGGTGTGCCTGATTATTGTTACTGAGGCCAGGCACACCTGGATTAATCAGTTTGTCCAATAATGACAGACAGGAAACAAAGGGCTGGCTGAAGTTCAGGAAGTAGTGAAGCTGTGCATAAAGCCTATAGGTCAGGGGTCTCAAACTCAACTTAACTGGGGGCCGCTGGAGGTAGAGTCTGGGTCAGGCTGGGCCGCATCAAGTATTCCACAAAAAATAGTATTCAAGTATTCCAAAAAAGGAGCACAACTGATCCAATCTTCTCAATCTTTATTATTAACGTTTCTTCTGAACTGTTCCTCTGAATTTGAACATTCCTTTCTGTACATGATTGGTTCTTCATGAGCTGTCCTTCTGACAGTTGAAGTTCATTTTACAAACTTTCTTTGTCTATAACACATATTTGTAATATTTATATTTGCTTATGTCCTTTTTATTTTCTTTATACAACACATTAATGATATTGAATGTTTTTTTTGGAAGGCACATTTCCTTTTATTAAATACTTAGAAAAACAATTATTGCTTTTGAAATACAAATATTTGCAGTCATGTCTGCCCGTCTTATTGAATTCTTTCTACACATGTATAGTGTCTCAGGCAAATTACTGACTGCACAAATCAAAGCAAACCTTCTTATCAACCTGTTAGACACATATTACAAGCTCAAAATGATTATTCTCACATTGTTTTAAAGCAGGGTCTCTCTCCAACACGTCGCTCGCGAGCTACGAGTAGCTCGCGGCCTGATTGGTGGTAGCTCGACAAGGGGCAGTTCACATATCGCGCTCACATATTTTGCGAGCTCAAGTTCGTTATTTCAAATGTAGGTGCGCGTGCGCGGCAAGCGCGCTCATAATTGAAGCGACGCGCTCATTTTTTCCAGGCGCGCAGTATGTTTGTACTTAGCGGTTGTCTATGGCAACTATTGACAACAAACCCACCGTATGGTAGCCCATTTAAAACGCGGCACACGCAACGACGGGCCGCACTAACATTACACTTTAATGTCAAGTAGGGGGCCACAAAATGCGGGCCGCGAGTTTGAGACCCCTGCTATAGGTCTTGGGCAGCGACCGATGACGTTTCACAAGTCCACAAGAACACGAGTACAGACAAGAACACATATTGAGAAACGGCTCATGACAGCGAAGGAATGACTAGAACTAAGGTAAATGGTGACAATGAAAACTTAAAACTAACGTAAAACTTTTCATGCGTTTTGATTGTTGATTTACACGACAACAGCGTTTTGGAAATGCAAGCGTTTGAAAATGTGATTCAAAGTGCAAGTTTTGAAAAAGATACCGTTATCATCTCCTTGTAAACTACAAAAACACGAATTTGTGAAAACGGTGACGTCATGCGTATTACGTGTTCAGTCTATAGGCGCGTACTAGTGTTTCTTTACAAAGTGACCTCGCAAACTACTGGCCTGAATAATGCAGCGTTTTTAAACATTTTCGTGGATCCGTGTGAATGGGGAATGTTTTGACAACACTGTGTCTGTATGTCACGATTAACAGTTGGAGTGCCCTTGATAGCCACCAGAGGGCACTCCACCCCAGACTATTGCCACATTGCCCCGGACTACATTATACCCATAACCCACTGTCCGGACTAATCAACCATGATTGTCATCAGCTGTTCCTCATAGCCTTGTAAACTCTGTGTATATAAGCCTGGTTCACTCTGTCATTCACTGTGAGGTTTTGTTAGCCGTTTACTCTGCATCTCTGAGCATTCTCCCAGGTTTCATTGTCTGACTTGGTTCTTGGATTTTTGCCTGTTTCTAGGGTTCCCTTTTTGCTCTGACCCCTGTTTGTTTGTTTGTTTGGACTGCCTTCCTGTGCTTGACCCTTTGCCTGCAAGATTACGATTCTGGATTACTCAAATAAAGCTGCATTTGGATCTCAAGCTTTGTATCTCAGTCTCAGAGCAGTTTGTAACAGAGTATGTGAAAAAAACAAAAGGAAAACCTTTTCTGGTTTTAGAACATCGTTGTTGTGTAAACGTACACTAGACTGAAAACTAAACAAGACAGAAACTAAACATGACGTGACATGAAGTAGCTTATAGTATGTGAGACTCATATTATCTGCTAAGTAATCTCAGATATGAATTGGAAGGAAAAAAAATTATTGTAAAAGTAAAAGCTATCTATTCAAGAATATTTTCTGCAGAATAATTTAGAAATTGACTATTAATTACTGTATTTGGTAACACTTTATAATAAGTATACAGTAATAAAGTACTTAAAAATCATTTGCAAACTATTAGTTTATAGTTAATTCTTGTAGTTTCTCTACATTGTTAATATATCAATATTTACATTTACATTTATTCATTTAGCAGACGCTTTTATCCAAAGCGACTTACAAATGAGAACAATAGAAGCAGTTAAACTAACAGTAGGACAACAATACGTAAGTGCTATAACCCTTCTCAGTTTAATTTTAGTGGAGAATGAAAATATGGCTAATAAAAATAGTGAGATCTTCGTTGATTGTCACAATTATTATTGTTTAATTAGCTCATATGTAAAGAGTTAGATATTGAGTTAGATAATGTTTTTTTATGCTTTAACTTATTAACTAAATAGTTCTCACTTTAGATTAGGTCATGGAACATAGGAAAATGTCAATTATGCCTAGAGTTCCCGTAAACCACATATATCAACATGTATGTGTGTGCTTAATGTATTTGTAAACATTTTAAGGAACACTGAATATGAATGCCATTAATGTCTAATACAGGCCTAATAATGTGTAATAAAGCACTTAATTAATGACATTTTCCCATTTTCCATGACCCAATCTAAAGTGAGAATTGTTTACGCCAATAACCAATTAACAATTTCTTTACTACAAGCTACTTAAACAATAATAATTCATTAGTGTTAATTACAGTGACAATAAATGAAGAACTCACTATTTGTGTATAACCTATTAATGTAGAGAATACAATATATTAACTATGAATTAACTATAGACTAATAGTTTGTTAATGAGTTGTAAGTACTTTATTACTGTATACTTAGACAAATAATTGGTAACACATTATAAGGACCACATGAAATAAAGTATTCATAACTTTATAAATAATTATAGTATTTCGTCAAATGCTATATTTTCTTCTATATTTAATATAAGTAATAAAAAAACAGTCATTAAGAAATATAATAAATATAAGTAACTCAACTTGTAAAAAATAGTTTTTGTATTTTTTAATTGTATTTATTTTGTCAGGAGTAAGTGAAAGAATTTCTAAAGAAAATTTCTATTGAGATAGGCATTTACCTTT